TACATGGAGTTGACTAACACATTTAGGCTGAGCTCCAGCTAACACTTTTTAAGAAGTAACATCAACAGGATTGTTTTTCATTTTAGGATAAAGATTTTACATAAATAAATAAAAGCTGACTGTTGCAAGCACCCTTGTCAGCGGTCAATGGTTTGTTTCAACCCTTTAACTGCTAGTTTCGCTGGGCAGCTTGGTCTCCTGAAAAATAACAGCCTTACTGGCCAGAGCACTAGGTGAAACTAAAGGGGAAAAAGCCTAAAAAAAGAAAACTAATGCAGTTGCCACATACAAGAACTAGTAAGCTTCAATATAACACATTTTTTTTTTGGGTTTAATATTGCTTTCAGAATATAAAATTGAAAATACTTTTTAGGGTTTTAACATATCTGCATAATGACTTTATCAGAAAAGGCTTTGTGCTGTACATTTGGTATGTATGTGATTGCTTTCCGACTCCACAGCTAATGTCCATTTCTGTTAGATTCCAGAGACCATACCATTAAAATCATTACTACATTGCATTTAAATTGGCACATCTATATATCAGATGATAATAGGATAAAAACATAATGCAAAGAAGCCATCAGAACAGTGAACTGACTTATGCAGCAAAATGGATTTCCCATTTACAGACCACTATGCCATGGATGTGAATATTATTTAAATTGTTCATTAAAAATGCATGTGTTTATGTATCCTCCTAATGAGCTACTAAAGTGTATACCTTATAGACACATAAATATGTTGATGCTCTATTGATTACGAGTGTCTTTCCTACGTGAGCAGAGTGCATTGTGGGAAATTCTCCCTCCCTATTCCACGGTTACTAACGTGATTGTAATATCCAGGTACCTTGCTGCAAAGGACATACACAGATAACGCAGGAGGGTATTTCCTAAAACTGACCTTACCCCAACCCCAGCATGATATAAACCATTGACATGTTCAAAATATTGAACGCTGGATGTACTACATAGCATATAATGAGTATCAGTGAGCACTGAACATTTAGACTCCATTAAATGCCAAAATATATTTTAAGGATATAGAAGTGGAAATGGGGGCTGAAGCTTAAAAACAGAACTTTCCTTTAAATCCTGATAAGATTAGGAATATGTTAAATAATCCATAGCTGTGTCTAAGATGTGTCTACTATTTATGGAATCATTTTTAAAACAAGTATCTTTTTGATCATCTTTCCAATTATGCAGTATAGCTTTAACCAATTTAACATGATACAAAACAAAATAAAAAATAGATCACAGAAAGAAGAAAAAATTGATATACAGTACTATATACAATATATATATATATATATATATATATATATATATATATATATATCCAATATAATCTATCATATAAATATATATACACACACACACACACACATATATATATATATATATATATATATCTCCAATATAATCTATCATATATATATATATATATACAGTATATACACACACACACACACACATATATATACAGTATATATCTCCAATATAATCTATCATATATATATATATATATATACACACACATATATATATATATATATATATCTCCAATATAATCTATCATATATATATATATATATACACACACACACACACACACATATATATATACATATATATATATATATATATATAAAAGATAGATCGTAGAATTGTACATTGATAAGTATGCATTCCATGCTTGCTTTATATCAATTTCTAATGGTTTCTCTTTGTTTTTTGCTAAAGAGATAGATAGAAAGATGATATCTATGATATATACACAGATAGATTGGATATATATATATTAGATTGGAGATATATATATATATCTCCAATCTATCTGTGTAAATAGCATATATATCATCTTTCTATCTATCTCTTTAGCAAAAAAAAAAAAAGAGAAACGCATACTTATCAATGTATAATTCTCTACGATCGATCGATCAATTCATCTATCTATTGGTCTGTCTGTCTGTCTGCTTAGCTATCTATTTATCTCAGTTTCTGTATTATGTATCTAATCTCTCATCCCCTATCTAAGGCTATAAGTAGACTGAGCTTTTATTAGATACACAGAGATTATACATGACTCCTTATAGTAACAATTAGGCAACAAAATGTGTGGGCAGCAGACACTTTGCCATCCAATCTGTTGCAATGCATCTGTTCTCTATGTAACAATAAAAATAAAAAGTGTACAGCCATATTAGTGTCAGAATGCCTATGATTAATGAACAAAGTATGGCTGTCTTAGCTGCATAGCAGCCCATAGATAAATACAGCTCATAAAGGATCACTCCTTGTAGTACAGAGGACACCAATGTGCTATATTTAGGTTACCAAAGGTTCCGTAATACAATTGTATCCTATTGCTGCCAAGAGGCAGATTTTTCTCTCAGTTATTGTCCCCTCTTATTAAAATAGCATTCACACATCCCAGAGGATGCCTAATACCTTGTAATTAAACTCTCCTCTGCAGCGCTCATTCCTATATTGCCAGGACTGTATTGTAAGTTGATTTAACATTAGGCTCCATGACAAAATAAGCCCTGGTTGCTAATCAGGCATTTCCAAACAATATTTCACTCCTGACCTACAACTTTTTTTTCTCTTCTCACTAAAAATGAACCATAAACTATCATAGGATACTTGCTTTCTGTCCCACCAACAAGGCAGCCCAAAGGCAGCTGCCCAGTTTGACTGCATGTCAAAGAGACCTTCATAGATCACCATATCCTCCATCTAAAGTGTTATGACTAATGACGGTGCCTAGACACAAGAAGGGAAAAAAACATACAGTCTTATTGGACATTACTACAGTCATGCACCTTGTCTCTACACTAAGGCTCCCATAATGAAAACCATCCATCATCTACGATCCATTTTGCTGCTGAATAGAGGGAAGACTCTGAACTTCAGCCCGGTGTAAACATGAATACATAGGCATTAGGGATGAGCAGAGTGATTCTGGTAAAATTGATTTGGCGGCACTAATGTCACCAAAGTGAAAATTCTCAGTTTCATTCTTTAAACTGCTAAGGCAAAATGTGCTTGAAAAAAAAATCTACTCTTTTTTTCTTTTCATTTTTGTTTTTTAAGGGTGTATTTGGGGTATGGTTAGGAATAATGAGGCTAGAGGTGGCAAGGCACATGAATAGGTCCAAGAAATTTAGGAGTTTTTTTAACCCTCAGGAATAATTAAAACCATGCCTGAACTGCAGGCTGTTAATGTCCACTATACCCAAGGAAAAAGTACAGGTCCAGGATATTTAACAAGAGGTTCTTAACCCTCAGGAACCAATAAACCATGTTACAACATGAGCCATTTAATGCCCACTGTAGCTAAGGCACGAGAACATGTCCAAGACAGTTAAGGTGCTACTGTAATCCTTAGGAACCATTAAACCATGCTATAACCTGAGTCATTTAATTGCTTACGGTAGCCAAGACACAAGAACATGTCCAGGACAGCTAAAAGGAGCTTCTATAACCCTCAGGAGCCATTAAAACCATGCTATTACCTGAGTCATTTCATACCAACTGTAATCAAGGCACAATAATATATCCAGGACACTTAAAAGAAGCTTCTGAAACCCTCAGGAATCAATAGTACTATGCTATAAACTGAGCCATTTAAAGCCCACTTTACCTTTAAAACCCACCTAAACCACCTTCATTTTGTTTCTCCATTGTCTCCAATGCTTTTGGCTAGGATGGCAAAATTTCACAGAAATCACAATTTTTGTTGACATTTTCGGGAAATTAAAATACCCAGTTTCTGAAGTTCTGACTAACAGAATAAACATAGTAGGTGCATGGAAACCTTTGGGAACTAGTGACTACATTCTTGAAAAGGCCCTTCCACCCGGCAGCCAAGAGGTTTCAGTTCTGGTCACCCTCTGACTTAAAACTCACCAAAGCCACATTAATTTCGCCTTCTCCATTGCCACCAATGCTTTTTCCCCAAATGGAGAAATTTCAGCAACATCTCTCGATTTATGCTATAATTTTGGAGACATGAAAAATCTCAATTTTGCTCATCCTTAACAGGCATGATATAGAAATAAGGATTTGACTGATAGAATAAGTATAGTAGGTGCTCAGAAACCTTTGTGAGCAAGTGACTACATTCTAGAAAACACACTTCCTCCTGGCAGCCAAAAGATTTTGCATTTGGGCACCCTATCCCTACCTTTAAAACCCACCAAAACCAGCGTCCTTTTGCCTTCTCTATTGCCTCCAATGCTTATTGTCAACATGGAAACTTTTCATCAAAATCTCTCCATTTTTGCTTAATTTTGCTCATTCCTAATATGCATGATATAGCAATAAGGTTTTGACTGACAGAAGCATAGTAGGTGCTTGGAAACCTTTCTAGAGAAGACCTTTCCTCCTGGCAGCCAAGAGATTTTTTTCTGTCTGGTCACCCTCTGCCTATACTTAAACCCCACCAAGACCACCTTCATTTTGCCTTCTTCATGGCCACCAATGTTTTTTGCCAATTTGGCAACATTAAAATCTCGTGATTTTCATGGAAATTTTTGAGGCATGCAAACTCTTAATTTCGCTCATTCCTAATAGGCATGATAAAGAAATAAAGTTTGACTAACAGAATAAGCATGGGTGCTTGGAAACCTTTGGGAGCTAGTGACTACATTCTGGAGAAGACCCTTCCTCCTGGCAGTCAAAAGATGTAATGTCTGGTTACCCTCTGCCTATTCTTAAAACCCACCACAGCCACCCTCATTTTTCCTTCTCGATTACAACCACCAATGCTTTTCGCCAACATGGCAAAATGTCACTGAAATCTCTCAATTTTTGCTGAAATTTTGGAGACAGGAAAACTCAGTTTTGCTCATTCCTAACAGACATGATATAATAATAGGGTTTTTCCTGATAGAATAAAAAATAGTAGGTGTTTTGGAAACCTTTGGGAGCAAGTGATAGCATTTTAGAGAAGACCTTTGCTCCTGATAGCCAGATGTCATGACTGGTCGCCTATTGCCTACAGTTTGCCCCCCATCCCCAGCCCTTCCCCCATTTACCTGCACACAGCTGCATCCAGGCGCAGATCTTGTACACAGTGGCCGTGTTGCAGAAGAAGAACAGGGCGAAGCAGGTAATGCAGCCCAGGATCAGCACCATGGACAGCAGCACGAAGAAGGCAGCTGCTTTGAAGGCTCCAGAGGGGATGGTGCTGAAGTCGGTGAAGGATCCCCGGCAGGTAAATTCCCTGTTCCCCCCTCCATTGCCCACACAGTAGTGGAAGAGCCCAAAGTAGCCGGGCTTGGGTGTATTAACGCTGTCCCCTATCCAGTAGGGTTGTATGAAGACCACCACGTTGATGATGGCAAAGCAGATAGTGAAGATGGCCCAAAGCACGCCTATGGCTCTTGAGTTTCTCATGTAATTGTCATGGTAGAGCTTGGAGGCTTCTTGAGATGGCAGCATCTTGGCTAGCGATCAGATGCCCTCCTGCACAGTGTAGTAGACAAATCAGACAATAAACCCCCTTTAGATGCCACCACCGGGCTTGCAAACCCTAGGAACACTGACTGCCTGGATGTCCATGCACCCTTGTATTGGGCATGCACTTGGTAGATAAGGGCAAATCCCAGAGGAAGGGGGGAATTCCGATGCTAGTTTGGGGATGCAGAGAGAAGGATGCCAACGTTCAGAGTCCCTGGGAGCAACATTTGCCTCTTGAGCCAAAGGAGATGCAAGCCATCAGATGCCCCCAGCTGGAAATGAGCCTAGCAGGTGATGCCATGGACCCGGGCCATTTGCAATGGAAGGAGGGCTCTTAAAACAGCCGAGACTTGGCCGGCTCTAGTCTTCCCTGCAGCTGCTGGGACTCCATCTTTGCTGTGTGCCTGATGCGCGCTCCTGAACATCTGCGCGCTCCCGCTGTAATGCAGACTTGGGGGAGCAGGGAGAATATAAAAAAAAAAAAAATCACTCTTTGCCACTCTTTGTGAGCTTCAGCAGCTGTGATCTCATCTGCTTCCCTGTGACTGCATCCCCTGCAAAAGACAGCCGCTAATAGCCTCCTATTCACCAAGGATGGTAGATTTAAAGGGATTAATCCGGCCCCTCTTCTCCCCCCATCCAGCAGTAATCCTCCACTGATGCTCTCTGTTAACACAGCATGCAGCCCCCATTATTGTCCATGTAAGCCAAGGAGAAGGTGAGCATGCACTGTGGATGGAGCCTAGGCTCAGCAGCGCTGGCAGGGTTTCCCCCTCTCGTCCTTCCCTCGCTGTGTGCCAGGCTGCCACACTGGTGATGTGATGTGGCATGTGCCCACTAGGGGCCAGGAAAGACCACTGATCCTGTTCATCTTCATTAGGCATAAATGCATAGATTTTCACTTCACTGCCTGACAAATGTTCCATTGCTTTTTTTTCCCATCATATTCTTAAAGGGTCAGTTCCCCCAAAAATTGATATTTCAATTATTGGTATAGGTTGATGAGCTGGATCACCTTATATCAAGGCTTAAAGATAAGGAAGCGGTCGCTAAATATGTATAACAAAATACACACCAATGACCAAAAAAAACTCAAGATACACTGAATAGTGGATGGAGCTGACCAATTAGGCTCCAACGTCCCTGATATCGTCACAAACAGTACAAGAGAGATCATGGGATCTCATGGGAAAAACTAGTAAAGGATCACATTGATTTTATTGTTATCTCTTTAAAACATTAATTATTTATAAAGATATACATACACAGAGAGACACACACATTCATATAAATAAATGTAAACTAACATTTTAAAATGTATTAAAACAGATGGTGTCAGTAGGACAGTGAATGGTGTCAGGCAGTAGAGCAGTGGACAGTGTCAGCAGAGCAGCGGACACTGTCATTAGGGCAGAGGTTGGTGTCAGTAGGGCAGTGAATGGTGTCAGGCAGTAGAGCAGTGGGCAGTGTCAGCAGAGCAGTAGACAGTGTCAGCAGAGCATTGGACACTGTTATTAGGGCAGAGGTTGGTGTCAGTAGGACAGTGAATGGTGTCAGGCAGTAGAGCAGTGGACAGTGTCAGCAGAGCAGCGGACACTGTCATTAGGGCAGAGGTTGGTGTCAGTAGGGCAGTGAATGGTGTCAGGCAGTAGAGCAGTGGGCAGTGTCAGCAGAGCAGTAGACAGTGTCAGCAGAGCATTGGACACTGTTATTAGGGCAGAGGTTGGTGTCAGTAGGACAGTGAATGGTGTCAGGCAGTAGAGCAGTGGACAGTGTCAGCAGAGCAGTGGACAGTGTCAGCAGACCAGTGGATACTGTCATTAGGGCAGAGGTTGGTGTCAGTAGGACATTGAATGGTGTCAGGCAGTAGAGCAGTGGACAGTGTCAGCAGAGCAACGGACACTGTCATTAGGGCAGAGGTTAGTGTCAGTAGGACAGTGAATGGTGTCAGGCAGTAGAGAATTGGACAGTGTCAGCAGAGCAACAGACACTGCCATTAGGGCAGAGGTTGGTGTCAGTATGACAGTGAATGGTGTCAGCCAGTATAGGAGTGCATAATGTCAGCAGAGCAATGGACACTGCCATTAGGGCAGAGGTTGGTGTCAGTAGGACAGTGAATGGTGTCAGTCAGTATAGGAGTGCATAATGTCAGCAGAGCAATGGACACTGTCATTAGGGCAGAGGTTGGTGTCAGTATGACAGTGAATGGTGTCAGCCAGTATAGGAGTGCATAATGTCAGCAGAGCAGTGGATACTGTCATTAGGTACAAATAGAGAAACAGAAAAAGGGCGCACCGACCTAGTGCATTATCGTTTAAAATAATTTATTAAAGAAACAAAAATAGGTATCATACTCACATTGGACATAATAACACAGGCATGTCAAACTGAACAAGATGTATAATCCAAACAACATCTGAGTCCATACGATGGAACCCTGGATGACCAACTGGCTAACGCGTTTCAAGGACACAACCTCTTCCTCAGAGCCAACCTTGGCTCCCTATGATAGTCTGAAATGCCTGGATGGGAACATAGAGCTGCCCCCATACTTTGGAACCCAAGCGATCGAGGATGAAGCAGTGAAGAACAGGCCAAAAAGGGTTTGAGCTTTCATCTCATAATCCAGCCATAGACTGCTACGTGTCTCTGCTACCTCTCCAGAGCCTCACAAACTGTCCCAGGGGAAACAAGCTTTGCCTGCGCTGGCGCCTGTCCACAGTATGTTGTGGGCAGGTGGTCCTTAAGTGATTAAAGACATATATATGAAATCATATATATGAATGGAAAAACATTAAAGCCTTAATATTGGCTGAAGCACATCTCTGTGTGACTCCACATTCCAAGGTGCACTTGAAGGTTTGGAAATATGGCAAATATGGCATATATCAGACCGTGGTTGCTAAATTCTATGGGAAACAGAATATATGATTTAATATCCTAACATCTATGATCTCTCTGGTTTGGGTAGAATGGAGTTTGATGTCCATCCTTACCACCTGCAAATCCCATAAGCCAAACTGCCATGATCATTGATTAGAAGATGGTGAATTAAAGGAGATTTGCCATCTTTACTATACAATATACCAGCAGTAGATGATGTGCTTGGATTTATATACACTGACCACCTGCAAGTGCGAAGACCTGTTGGATTGTCTAATATGCTATGTACGCATATTTGAGGATTTAAATGGACTGTATGGTATTTTTGAACTTGTACTTTTCTTATTATGTTCAAGACTGTTTTAATGTTTCCAGCCAGCAGTGTGAACTTTAGGCCTTTGTTCACGTGTTCCAGGCTATCCTTATCTGCTTGTTACCTGTTGTTATAGAGCTCAATAGCTCAAGCTGACATTTGCCCCCAGAACTGAATAAGTAAGAGAGGTGTCTCCTAACTCCTCTCTTCTTTCCCTGCTGCTCTGTTCAAAGGAAATAATATAGAGTTTAACCCAAGCTAGAATCACACCTCCTTGCATGCTGGCCTGGGAGCGACTAAAAATGAGACCCCCACAATCCCCTCAAGTATAATTTATTAAATGCAATAGAATTAGAAAATATACAACACTCTAACCCCTAAAAACAATTGCAAGTCTTGTGTAAGTCACAGAGGAACACCAAAAGAACTTAATTTGACCAAAAAGAACTTCCTTTTGCCCAAAAGGGCAAGGACAGGAAAGTGGGACTCATTAGGTGCCACCAAGTATTCACACAAATCAATTTTTTTCATCTAACAAAATATCACAGACTTCGTAAAATCATAACCATCAGTATGTAGTCAATGTGTGATATCAGGCGTCTGGGATCAACGCATTTTTGTGAAGAACTCTCTTCCGCAGGATCCATGTCCATTGTGAATACTATGACTCAATGATTCTCTATCCAAAAAAAATCACCATAACTTCATATAGAGATCATACATAGACCTCAAATACTCTAAACATTAGTTGTAAATAGGAGTCCCCCATGTGCGTATGAACATATAATCAGGCTCACCAGCTGCCCAGCATTATATGCATCTGTTCTCCATAGACCATTCCAAATTGGTGCCTGAGTGGCCCATTATTCATGGATAACTCTAAACTGATGACCTGTAGGGGCTTTTTTATGCACCCCCTTTGGAAAATTCAGAGTATCAAAGTTTGTCGTCACTTCACAGGTGAACACAGCTTTTAACATGTTGGGCATCAATTTACTCGGTGCAACATCTCCTTTATATTTAAAAAAAGTGTCTTAAATTAATTTTAGTGTTTTTTTGTTGAAATTTTGCACTTGAAAAACTGTTGTGCTAACTTCGTTTTTCATAGAAAAAAATTTAAACTACCAATATTTTATTCTCCATTGTCTTTGCTTTCAGAAAATATATAACGTGTTTGGGATTTTTAGCTAATCTTCAGGCCTAAAATGATTTTTTTTAAACGCATGCAAAAAAAGAAAGGCTAAATTGTCTCAGGCAGCAAAAGGTTAATAATCTCTGTCACTGACCCCTCTGAAATTTTCATATAATTCTTCATATGGAGAATCCTCTAAAGGAAACAGCAGTGCTGCATCACTTAGAAGTTACCGGAAAATAGAATTACAGTGGGACCTCAGTGCGGACAACTCCAGGTGTTTGAATGCATCATTAGATGCTGTTGTCAAAATGACCCTGGTGTGGTCTTTCATATAAAATTGCAGGGCCGGTGCTAGACTATTTTGTGCCCTAGGCAAGACCAGCTATTTGCCCCCCCCCCCCCCCCAAAAAAAGATAAATAAATAAACATTTTTTAAAAAGGGTAGAAAATATTAAATCAGCGAATGGAAACTGCTAAAGCACCAATAGACAAAATCAGTGCCATGGACGGACTGTATCTGTTGCTGGCAGTGGCAGGGTGACAGTTGCAGTGAGTGGAGGATGATGGATCCACACTCTGACAGATCCCAGGTTCCTCCAGAGGTTGCTAGGGGTTCCTTGAGCAGTTGACCACCAATGTAAGGAGCATTCTTCCCACTGACCACCAATGTAAGGGACATTCTTCCCACTGATCTCCAATGTAAGGAGCAGTCTTCTCCCTCATCACTAATGTAAGGAGCATTCTTCCCAATAGCCACCAATGTTAGGTGTATTCTTCTCATTGACCACCAATGTAAGGGACATTCTTCTCACTGACTAGCAATGTAAGTAGCATTCTTCCCAAAGACCACCAATGTAAGGGACATTCTTTTCACTGACTACCAATGTAAGTAGCATTCTTCCCAAAGACCACCAATGTAAGGGACACTCTTCTCCCTCATCACTAATGTAGGGAGCATTCTTCCCACTGACCCCCAATGTAAGGGGCATTCTTCCCAATGACCACAATGTAAGGGACATTCTTCCCACTGATCTCCAATGTAAGGAGCATTCTTCTTCCACATCACTAATGTAAGGAGCGTTCTTCCAAATAACCACCAATGTAAGGAGCATTCTTCTCACTGACCACAATGTAAGGGACATTCTTCTCACTGACCACAATGTAAGGGACATTCTTCTCACTGACCACAATGCAAGGGACATTCTTCTCACTGAGCACAATGTAAGGGACATTCTTCCCACTGATCTCCAATGTAAGGAGCATTCTTCTTCCACCTCACTAATGTAAGGAGCATTCTTCCAAATAACCACCAATGTAAGGAGCATTCTTCTCACTGACCACAATGTAAGGGACATTCTTCTCACTGACCTCCAATGAAAGAATCATTCTTCCTAATGACCACCAAAGTAAGGCTACATTCACACTAGCTTTGTCAGCAAGCATCAGACAGGCGTTTGGGAAGCGTTCGCTGCACGCAATGCTGTTCACACGGAAAGCGTTAGGGTCATGGCAAAAACTGTCGCCTCGGGTCGAGTCAGGAGGAGTTGAAGTCTCCCATTCAAGTCTAAGGTGCCGCTCAGCAAACGCCTGGCAGGCATTTGCGGTGCGGTTGCGACACGGTTGCGAGGCGTTTGCGGAGCGTTAATACCATTTAACTTCATTATAGGAGTTTGTGGTGCAGTTTTAACGCTTGGCAAATGCCTATCAACTGCCTCAAAACCACGCATAGGGCGTTTTGGGTGTGTTTGAGGAGCGTTAAAAAAAAGCCTGTCAAACACTATAGGGGCGCTTGGCAAGAGTTAGAAATAAAGTCAAGTGTGAACGAGCCCTAAGGGACATTCTTCCCAATGACCTTCAATTTAAGGAGCATTCTTCCCAATGACCATAATGCCAAGGTACCCCAAGATGTAGATATAGTAACTATTAGCAGGGGGTACTGAGACCAGAAAATTAATTAAAGGGTTCCTCTGTGTTAAAAAGGTTGAGAAAGGCTGGTCTAGCACATTTAGGACAACATACAGATTTTCGTCAGTCTTACCTCTGGGTATCCAATTCTGGTTTGTCAATAGCTCTAGAATCATTGCACAAAAGGATCCCTTTTTGGAAAACTGTTTTATCAGTGCTGGGCTCCATCCATTTTTTTTTTTTTTTTTTTTTTTAAGTTCGATAGTTCTCCATATTCCTTCAGAATCTTCATTATATTTGGGAGTGTTATCCGGGGGTTCCCCACATATAACAATAAGTCATCCGCAAAGGCTGCAACTTTATGTTCTATGGTTTCTATCTGAATTCCCTTTACATCTGCGCTTTTACTTATCGTAGACAATAGGGGTTCCAATGACAAAACGTACAACAAAGGGGACAATGGGCAGCCCTGCCTTGTACCATTTGACATTCTAATGGGTTCCAATTTCTCCCCATTTACCGTGATAATTGCGGTGGGCTCCCTATATCATTTTCCTATCCACTCTCGCATTCTCTCTCCTATCCCCAGGACTTCCAAGTTATCCATCATAAAGCCCCAGTCTACTCTATCGAATGCCTTCTCGGCATCAATTGATAACACTACCACCGGATCTTTCCCTTTTCTACTTTTCTGGATAAGCATCAGAGTTCTCAACCCATTATCTCTACCCTCTCTTCCTGGAACAAAGCCCACCTGGTCCCCATGTATCCATTCAGGCATTACAGTGGGGATCGAAAGTTTGGGCACCCCAGCTAAAAATTTGTATTAATGTGCATAAAGAAGCCAATCAAAGATTGAAAAATCTCCAAAAGGCATCAAATTACAGATTAGACATTCTTATAATATGTCAACAAAAGTTAGATTTTATTTCCATCATTTACACTTTCAAAATAACAGAAAACAAAAAAATGGCATCTGCAAAAGTTTGGGCACCCTGCAGAGTTAATATCTTGTACTGCCCCCTTTGGCAAGTATCACAGCTTGTAAATGCTTTTTGTAGCCAGCCAAGAGTCTTTCAATTCTTGTTTGAGGTATCTTTGCCCATTCTTCCTTACAAAAGTCTTCCAGTTCTTTGAGATTTCTGGGCTGTCTGTCACGCACTGCTCTTTTAAGGTCTATCCATAGATTTTCAATTATGTTGATGTCAGGAGATTGTGAAGGCCATGGCAAAACTTTGGGTTTACGCCTCTTGATGTAATCCCCCGTGGATTTTGAGGTGTGTTTAGGATCATTATCCATTTGTAGAAGCCATCCTCTCTTTAACTTCAGCTTTTTCACAGATGGCATCAAGTTACCATCCAAAATTTGCTGAAATTTTATTGAATCCATTTTTCCTTCTACTCGTGAGATGTTCCCTGTGCCACTGGCTGCAACACAACCCCAAAGCATGATTGATCCAACCCCATGCTTAACAGTTGGACAGAGGTTCTTTTCATTAAATTCTGTGCCCCTTCTTCTCCAAACGTACCTTTGCTCATTCCGGCCAAAAAGTTCAATTTTAACCTCATCGGTCCACAGAACTTGTTTCCAAAATGCATCAGGCTTGTCTATATGTTCATTTGCAAAGTTCAAACGATGATTTTTTGTGGTGAGGACGTAGAAGAGGTTTTCTTCTGATGACTCTTCCATGAAGACCATATTTGTACAAGTATCTCTTTATAGTGGAATAGTGTACCACAACTCCAGTGTCTGCCAGATCTTTCTGGAGGGATTGTGCAGTCAAACGTGGGTTTTGAATTGTTTTTCTCACAATCCTGCGAGCTGTTCTTTCTGATATTTTTCTTGGTCTTCCAGATCTTGCTTTAACTTCCACTGTTCCTGATGACTGCCATTTCTTAATTACATTCCGAACAGAGGATATTGACATCTGAAAACGCTTTGCTATCTTCTTATAGCCTTCTCCAGCTTTGTGAGCGTCAACTATTTTCAGTTTTCTAGACAACTGCTTAGAAGAACCCATGGTGCTGATTGTTGGGGCAAGGTCAGATGAGTCTGGGCATTTAAAACCTTTGAAATTGACATAACCTGGTCTTCCCAGATGATGATTGAGAACAATACATGACACTGGCAGGTCTCAGCTTTGCAAAGGGGGCAGTGCATGCTATAAATTCTGCAGGGTGCCCAAACTTTTGCAGACGCCATTTTTTTGTTTTCAGTTATTTTGAAAGTGTAAATGATGGAAATAAAATCTAACTTTTGTTGACATATTATAAGAATGTCTAATCTGTAATTTGATGCCTTTTGGAGATTTTTCCATCTTTCCTTGGCTTCTTTATGCACATTAATACAAATTTTTAGCTGGGGGTGCCCAAACGTTCGATCCCCACTGTAAATCTTTCAACCTATTTGCCAGTACCTTTGCGTATAGCTGAGTGTCAGTGTTCAGTAATAAAATTGGTCTGTAGCTAGAGCACTGAGAAGCATCTTTTCCCTCCTTTTGAATAAGTACTACGTGGGCCTGTAAAGATTCTCTCCTCACCTCCATCCCACCCATATATTTCTTCAGCTTAGGTAACAATATTTCACTATATTTTTCCCGGCCCCTGTACTCTTTAATGCTGCTTTTACTTCTTCCTGAGCAAATTCCGCATCCAAGGAGTTCAATTGTGCTTCGCTTAATTTCGGTAGACCCGCATTTTTTAGATAAATCTTCCTTTTTTCGATGTTAACCTCTTCAGTTTCTTTCAAAGAACCTTGGGGACTAATGTTGTACAGCTTTCTATAGTACTCCGGGCTCCATCCATTCTAGTCCCCTTATGGAACGCAACTCATGGGAGCAACACAAAGCAGCTAGGCCATGCATGAAAACCCCTTCAGACTCCTGTAAAAGAGCAATATGGCATATAGGACATGCACTACAATCCAAAAACAATCCTAAAAAATAAAACTGCTATAAACCTAATATTCACAATTTTACATCCTTCTGTTATTCAGACTAGAAATTGTGAATCCGTAAAACTGGTGTGGATTGCTCAATGTCTGCAATGACAGTAGCCTGGAGAATAAAGATTTATAGACTCCAAGATCAATGCCCTAGAGCCTACAGGGTCGTCATGGCTGTTGGCTTGCACATCGTTTTTCTTAAATAAACTGACTGAGGAAGGATCTGTCCGATCTCAGCTTTCAGCAGCTTTGCTACGTTTACAATAATGAAAGACAATTCCTGATTGGTTGCTCTGGGTCACTGAATAATGCACATTGTAAATGGACTCATGAAAACCCAACCGAACCTTCAGTTTAAATAAGCTGAATACATTCAGGTGCATCAAAGCAAAAACTATGTTAGTGGAGGTTCCTTGCCAGGGTTAGGGGTCCGGCTCAGAGACACGCAGCTATAGCAGTACAGAGCAAAACGATGTGTGTGACCCAGGGGCGGACTGACAACTCATGGGGCCCCCGGGCAATAGGGGATCATGGGGCCCCTGTGTCCTTGCCCAAACTCAAAAAAGCCTATGAAAAAGGTACCAAATGGTCAGTCCACCCCTGGTGTGACTATGCTTTACTTATTAAGTGTTAAATTACCTGAAACAAGAAAATGCTATAAATACCACTGTGAAACAACGTATCTAAAAAATATAACCACTTTCAAAAATATTATGCTCAAAAATTATAGTGTAATAAAAAAAAAATATTTATTTATTTCAGGTAGTTATATTTACGCAGCACTTTACATATATATTGTACATTCACATCAGTCCCTAACCCTCAAGGGGTGTACAATCTAAGGTCCCTAACTTACATTCATACATACACATACTAGGGACAATTTAGACAGGAGCCAGTTAACCGACCAGAATGTCTTTGGAGTGTGGGAGGAAACCAGAGTACCCGGAGGAAACCCACGCAGGCACAGGGAGAACATGCAAACTCCAGGCAGGTGGTGCTGTGGCTGGGATAAATTATAGTATAATCTGTCCATAATAATGATTCATAAATCCAAATAAACAAAAAAACACGTTCTTAAAGTGTTACTAAACCCACAACAGTAAAAGCAGTCTGTAGATGCAGTAAAGCATGCTGGATAAACTCACTTTGGAACCTAAGGGGTTAATACTCTACATTGTGTACAAACACTATTTTATCATGTATTCTCTGATCTGCGCCCTTTTTCTACTGTCCTCAATCCATCTGGTGATAGAACAGAGCTCTGAGTCACTCTGCTCATGCTCAGTTTTGGTGTGTATCGCTAGAGAGTTTTTTTTTTCTTGAGAAGGTGCATGTGATCAGGGCCATACCGGGTTGCCAGCATTTTTTTGTTTTGGAATCATTATATGGGGAGTTGGAGGTCCCAGCTTGTGCACTGCTCCAGCATGCATTCTAATGTATAGCGGTTGAGCTTGGGTAAGATTCTTATTTGCGTGCACGTCATTGGTGTGATTTTCACACGTAGGGCCATTGAAACGAATAGGTTGCCCTAAACACTATGTGCAAAATATGCACACACA